TCTTCCAGGGCTGGGCAAGCTGCTGGAAGAGCGGCTGCCGCCCAAGGTCATCGAGATCGACGGCGCGGGGCCCCGTGTGGCGGAGATGGAGGACCGCGCCGACGAGGGGATGGGGCCGCGCAACAAGCGCGTGATCGCCGCGATCGAGGAGGCCTCCTTCACGGGCAAGGGCGACAAGCCGGTGGTCGTCCAGCTGTACCGTTCCTACGCTCGCAAGGTGAACAACGCGATGGTTGCCTCGGGCGAGAAGGTGAAGGGGGAGTACGAGGGCGAGCGCAACGCGGCGGGTGAGCGGGAGGGGCGCGGCGTCTTCCGGTTCGCCAACGGCAACGTCTACGACGGCGAGTGGAAGGCGGGTAAGAAGGAGGGGCGCGGCGTCTTCCGGTTCTCCAACGGCAACGTCTACGACGGCGAGTGGAAGGCGGGTGAGGAGGAGGGGCGCGGCGTTCACCGCTGGGCCAACGGCGACGTGGAGACGTGCTTCCGGAAGCAGCGTGCACGCGTCGACGAGGGCGTCAGCTGGATGGCGGACGGGCGGCGGGCGGTGCGGCTGCGGGACGGGGAGGAGGAGGAGGAAATCTCGCTGGAGGAGGCGCGGCGGACCGCCGAGCGGCTCGGGCTCCCGATCCCCTCCCCGCTGCCCGGCGCGTGAGAGCAGCGCCAGCGTCAAGACAGGCTGATTTGCGGGGAGGACCAATCGACACCAAGACACGTTGCGCCACATATGTGTGATTAACTCGTTTGGCAGAAATTCTTTTTCTCGCGATGTCCACCTCGCCGCGCCGCCGCTCGCGCCGCCTCGCCCCCGCCGCCACCGCCGCTCCCTTGCCAGACACCGACATCCGCACGTTGCAGCCCCAGGCGGCGGGGTGCTGCGGGCTGTTCTCTGTGAAGAACATGACGTGCACGTTGGACATCTGGAGAGGGAGCAGGTCCGAGCTGGTGTTCGGCGTGGAGGGGACGGCGGAGTGGCTGTCGGCGCTGACAGTGCGATGCACGGGGTTCACCGGCACAGGGACCCCCACCTTGGACGTCGTCGACGACGACGACGGGTCCTTGTACGCCCGCGTGCAGCAGCACACCCCCGGGCACGTGCTGCCCCCGGGGCCCGGGGCGCCGTTCCTCGTCCAGGACATCAGGGGCGACGTGGCGGTGGTGCGGGGGCGGTGGACCGGCAGCGAGAACTTCACCTTCACGGTGGAGGACCTGCGCCCGGGTCAGAACAACACGTACTCCGGCTCCTGGGTCGGCGGGCAGGACAGCAAGCTGCACCTGCACGACACGTGGGGAATCGCGGTGGACCTCAAGAAAGGCGAGGTGTCGTTTTCGTTCAAGAACAAGAAGCACGCCGGCGTGCACCCCGCCAGCCCCGTGGCAGTGCACCTTGCGGTTGCGCTGGCGATGGTTGCGGCGCGCTCGGCCACTCAGCCGGATGGCAAGACGGCTGCGCTGATCCCGTGCAGGGAGGGGGGTTGGATTCTGGGAATACTGGGAAACCGCGAGGCCAGGGATAGGAGGGAGCGGGAAGAGGCTGCGATGCGGCAGAAGTTGAAGCTCCTGCAGTACTCTAAGGCGGCGGCCAACCTCCTCAAGCACATGTCCGAGGTCGAGCGCCCGATGGTGAGGGAGGCCGTGAAGGAGATCTTCGCCTGGGTGGGCGTGGTGTCGGACATCGCCACCAAGGTATGCGTGCTCCGCCCCTCATGTGTCGCTCCCCGCTTCAACCCCATATTCAACGAGGATTCGTCGTACCCCCTCCCACCCCCACACCCGCAGGAGGACTTCGAGGGAAAGCTCACCGAGATCACCGAGAAGATCGGCACCGTGGTCGCCGCCGCCGAGGCGAAG